TGATAGCATTATTTGCATTATTTGAAAGTTACCGTCATATCTTTTAAGAACAACTTTCACATATAACAAATTTAAAAAACTATAATTTGCATAATTGTGATTCATAACAAATTTTCTATTTACTGTGGATCTTTTGATTTGTATAATTCACTAATACATTCAATTTTATACAAATTGTTTAGTTTTGTATAAATCCATTTATCCATTGTAATTTGTATAATCAGATTTGTCGTATAACATAAGTGTACAGAATGAAGATATATGTATTTGTATACATATTTCTCCCGCTTTATATAAATACAAACACATTGTATATATTTGTATACCGAATAAATAATTACATACTGAAAATGATTAACTGTATAGTATCAAATCAAATGACAAAAAAAGAAAGAAATATTTACTGTAAATTATAAATAAAATAAACTATTACTATAATATTTAATTTAAATTAATTATTTGTTATTTCATACAGTTTCCTTGCTTTTACCTTCACTTAGTATGACAGAGGGTTAACACTTTCCCTATAGCCATAACACACTCTTGAGGGCCTGAGGCAGTTACTTTCTGATTTTTCTTTCCCATCTGTATTTGATATTAATATTTTCAAATAAATTTGAAATGGCTTTTAAATAAGCAAACTTCCTAATCTATGTGAAAGTTTAAGATGTCGCCTTTCTTTTCTTTTTTTTTAAGATAAAATCATAAACGTTTCTTCTCGATGGAAAATTATTCCTCAAAAATCTATTACGTATGAGTACCCCTCCAAAAAAAACATCAAGCTATTTGTTGTTATAAATACATTGAATTAAGTGGATAGTCCATAAGGTTGGTACATGAACAACCATTCATATTCACTAGGTGACATGAACCTTTTTGGATAAGAATGTATCTATTTATTATGATACTTAATATGGTAACCTTTGGAGTGATTTCTCACTCTATAAATAGGGTTGTTCATTCACTATTGTAACAGATACATATGAGATTTGCATACACTTGAATAAGAAGAAAGTCTTATCTTCCATCTTACTCCTCTTGTCTTCATCTCTTTATATTTATATTGCCATGAGCTTGATTTTATAACACGTTATCAGCACGAGTCTCTAGCCAATTAAGATTGAGTTTTACTTTTTCTTTAACTCATGTTTTGGTTGATTTCGTTATGAAGATCAAAGTATTGTATGCATAAAATCAGGTATGTATTTTCTAAAATATTTTATGATTTAGAATAAAATAGTGTTCAGTCACTAACAATTATCAGGAACCGAAGACATATACTACTATTGGTTGAATATGACATGCTATACAAAATTTCTTAAATAGAAAAAGGTGTAAGATTTTAATAGCATGAATTTGAATGTTATTTTGATTGTTTTGAAAGACTCAAAGGATAAATCATGTTGTACTTCGGTTTATTATACCGTTGGTTAAGGGTAAGACGATGGATTCAAGTTTCATCGCACCAAAAGGGTAAGACATCAGGTTAAAGTCCGGATGCACCATAATGAAAAATATTTGAGGATAAGACGATAGATTCAAGTTCTATCGCACCAAAAGGATAAGACATCAATTAGATTTTTGATGCACCGTGATTAGGTTCAAGACCATAGAATTATGGCGTAACACGCCTTATATGGGTAAGACATTGAGTTTGAGCCAATGCACCATAGCAATGATAAAATGATGACTAAGAAAAATAATATATTTTTGACAAAATGTCTTGAAATTGATCATATTGAATTTGCTTCATTCCTTGAAAAGAATGTGGTAGCAACATGTGATAACTCTGAAATCCGCCTGTTAACTTGCTCCATTCAATCATATGAATGTGGTAGCAGTGAATGTTAGTCTGAAAGATGACAAATGATTAATGATATGAATAAGGGCGTGGAGGGACATAATTATAATAGTCATCATTGTGGTAATGATAAAAGGAAGAACACTATAAGTTCTTCAAATAGTCCTTCAAAATGTGAAGGCAATTTAAATAAATATGTGAACTTAAAGTTCAAGGGATAATTCAGTTGCATAATGTTGCAAATCAGTTGCCAGAGGAATGCACTGACCCTATGATATAATTCAGCTGCGAATGCTTCAATGTGAAGTCCTTGAAGGACAGAGTCTATGATACGCCGAAAGCGTAATAGACCAATTGATTCCAAATATAAAATTCCTTAAAGAAGGAAGGAGCAAATGATCAATATGGTCATGATAATGAGGCAAGTGCTATAAAAGAGCACATTGACATAACACTTCATAAAATCTTGAAAAAGGTTCAGGTACCTGAAATAATGAAAAATGAAGAGATCTCGATAAGTTATGTCTTGTTGGAATCGATATCAAATAACCGTCGACAGTATCTTTGATATGAGGTAGCGCTCAATGATATAAATTGTGATGAGGATCTTGAATTCAAATCTGTCATATAGTGTGAACAGATAAATGGTTGGCCAAGTAAAATGCACAATTCAAGTATATTTTGTTTCACTTAGAAAAGTGATATTTTGGACTTGTAGTCCATAAATCAAGGTATAATGTCAGTGGGGTACAAATAAATTATTATGCGATAGTATAACCATAAGATATCAAATATGGTTTGTGCCTTGGGGCATAAAGGTTTATCGCAAAAATCCTGACATTATTGGAGATGTTTTCTCCTTTGATGGATGCAATGAGGTTTGTTTTGATCTGACAACATATGAAAACTTGAATGCATGTAAATGAATAATTGTAATGTCTAGCTAGACAATGAAGGTTATATGAAAATTCTTGAAACAATCGAGGTGTCTGAAGCATATAAGAGTTTGAAAGAAACTTTTCCAATAAAGCTTCAAGAATCCTTATATGGATTGAAATAGTCAAGGAAGAAAAAGGGTACAAGAGAATGACCCTAATTTTCCTTGTATTTTTATGAAAAGGTCTTGGTAAGACAAAATTTTGTCTAGACCTACAGATTGTTAATTTGACAAATAAAATATTTGTCTAGCAGTGCACATACACTGAAAAATTTTGATGCAATTTTATGTGGATATATCGCATTCATTGAGTACCCCAATGATTATGAGATCACTTGACATAAATGATGATTCAGTTTGATCTCAAAAGAAGGATGAAGAGTTTCTTAGTGATGAAACTCTATCTTGGTGCAATCAGGGCACTAGTGCATCTTACTAACAATATTTGACCAGATATTTGTTTTGCAGTAAATTTACTGGCAAGATTCAGTTTCTCCCCGATAAAGGACATTGAAATGGTGTTGAACACATGATTGAATATCCTCATAGGACCATAGTTATGGGCTTATTCTATTCCGAGGAATCCAAAACAAAATTGATTGGTTACGCAGATGCAGAATATTCATCTGATCCGCATAAAGTTCTATCTCAATCACGCTATGTGTTTGCATGTGGAGGCACAATAATATCCTGGGGATCAATGAAGCAAATTTTGCTCTGCAGAAATAAAAGTCCTTTATGAAGCAAGTCAAAAGCGCGTCTGGTTGAGATAAATGACACACCATATTCAAGAAATGTGTGGTTTTTCTTTAAAAAAAGAATATATCAACCACAATGTACAAAGATTGGAGACATCATCACAAGAAATCAAGTGATGTTTTAATCAGGGGGAGTACAATACGCGTTGCACTCTTTTTCCCTTGATCGAGGTTTTTTCCCACTGGGTTTTCCTGGCAAGGTTTTTAATGAGGCAACAAATGGTGCGTATCAAAAGATATGTGTACTCTTTTTCCTTCACTAGAATTTTTTCCCACAGGGTTTTTCCTAGTAAGGTTTTAACGAGGCACATTATCTATGGACATCCAAGGGGGAGTGTTATAAATACATTGAATTAAGTGGATAGTCCATAAGGTTGGTACATGAACAACCATTCATATTCACTAGGTGACATGAACCTTTTTGGATAAGAATGTATCTATTTATTATGATACTTAATATGGTAACCTTTGGAGTGATTTCTCACTCTATAAATAGGGTTGTTCATTCACTATTGTAACAGATACATATGAGATTTGCATACACTTGAATAAGAAGAAAGTCTTATCTTCCATCTTACTCCTCTTGTCTTCATCTCTTTATATTTATATTGCCATGAGCTTGATTTTATAACATTTGTAATATTTTGTTAGTGTTATGATAATTTTTTTACTCCCAATTAAAATATTCTAAGCAAATAGCTTTGGTTAAATTTTTTTAAAAAGAAGCTTACAAATAATTTTTTTGAGGATTATTTTATAGATGCAATAAGTAAATGTATTCATGTAATGTGTAAGTAATATTATTCCTAATCGTTTTAGATTATGATATCTCATATGAGTAATAGCTAAGATCATATTATCTCATATGTGGATAAATTACTTTTTAATTATTTTAAATTGTGATATTTTGTTTGGACATATTAAATTATATTAGTACCTTACAAAAGTCCAACTATTGTATTCTTCCTCATTAAAATGACCTTCACTCCCCCAATCAATTTTTACATGAATAAAAATAATGAATTATGTGAGTATCAAATATTTTTATGATTTCATATTATTAATTATTATATAATTTATATTGTTAGCTATCAATAGATGAGAGATCTTGTAAAAAATAAATAAATTTAATTTAATTATTTAATTTGATATGTTATATATCCATATTAAAAACAACCCAACAATTTTTTTAGATATTAAATAATTTTAAAAATAAATAAAATAATTAATACTTAGTAAAATTGATATCGTCTTAATTCGTTTATAATCCATTACTTGATTAATTTTATCCATTTAAATTTAAATTGAATCAAATCTTAATTCGTTTGTCTTAATAAATTATAATTTATCGTATTTGAATCAAATAAATAATTGCAAAAGTATTTTTACTCTGATATCATCTATTTGACATATTAGAATTAGAAGGATAAATATTAGAGTCGACTTTTTGTTATTAATTTGTAAGCAAACGATCCATAAGTATTTGTAAGAGGAAGAATATTCCGTCACATGTTTTGTGCTATTGTTACGTTTTAAGTAGTAATAGTGAACGGAAAGCAAAATATCAAAGGGGCAAAGAGGACTTTTGACGCAACTCTCAGGCGAAGTTTATCTCCCAATTAGCAGTTGAGGGCGGATTTCCCCGACAACCTACGACGACGATGATTTAGCTGGAGCTCTAATTCTAATAATCTCTCCTTCTTTTGGGGTTAGGTATCGGAACTTGTGGAATTTCCGATCCCATCGGAAAAGAAAGTAAAATGGCGTCACCGGATATTACTGAAATGTTGGAAAAATCGAAGGAGCTTGATCGTTTAAGGAAAGAGCAAGAGGAAGTACTCCTTGAAATCAATAAGATGCACAAAAAGCTTCAAAACAGTTAGTATTTCAACTCTATATTTATTATTTATACTCAGTTTGATGACAAATTATATTTGTGTCTGCCTAAATTAGAGTTAGTGAAAAAGTCGTTAGAAGTTGAATGCACTTAAAAAAAAAATAGTCATGCAATCAATTCAAGCAAATTCTATGAGAAACAGTAATTAATGACCTGCTAAAATCCTTTGTATTTACCCTACTTTGTGAATTTTGATGTGTATTTGTAGTTTTTTTAGGTCATGGGTTCGAATAGTGGAAGCAGCTACTATTAGGGTAGGCTGTGTACAACACATTATGGTAGATCGAGGTTCTAATGCCGCTGGTTTATGGGGGTTATCCAACTGATTTTTGTTTACTGAGTAATGTTGTCATTTGTGAATCCCCTTTAGACAGTTTTTTTGGTATTAGGAATCTACATAATCCATTTGAATTTTACACCTTCTCTCTGATAAGTTCAAGTTCCTCTCTTGTTCGAAGTGATCGCAATCACCAATATTAACCGCAATGTGAATTTGACAGATTCTAGTGCTTTTCATGATTGAATCCAAAGATTTGGAAAGTTCTTACAGATTTGAATTGTGTGATCTCCCAAAATTCAAAAAAGTAGGTAATAAGATATTAGAATTAAGCTCTACTTTTATTGGCAAAGATCATTGACCTGTTTGAAGTAGAAAACTTGCATGTGACATGTATCTACCTAGACTTATAGTGTAAGTATTATGGCACTTAACATTTGGCCACTTTCCCTTTCCTTCTGCAGCTCCAGAAGCCGTTGAGAAACCAGGCGACAATTCCCTGTCAAAACTTAAGATGTTATATACTCAAGCCAAAGAGCTTTCCGAGAGTGAGATGAGGTACTTATCTTTGCTCTGTTTCCTTGCTTGGAGGATGGTTAAGGGGTGATTATTGGCTCACAACTTTCTATTTTTTTCCAAATGGAGCTACGTGGTGTTAGTTTTATGCAACTCTTTATTTGACAATTTAGACTTGGAAGCTCTAAAATGTTTGTTCTTACAAGTCATGTTTAATAGTGATACTTGTTGTATTTTCATTTTCAATGAAATTAATTTATTTCTCCTTCCTTGCCCTTTGTGTAGTATCTCCAACCAGTTGTTGGGCCAGCTGGATGCAATGATTCCTGCTGGAGGTGCTGGCCAACAACGAAGAAGGATAGGTGTGTGTACAATTGATTAACTTAACAATCATTGAATTTCTAATGTTATGTTCTTTAAAGTTTAAATTAATTCCTGGCTTACAATATATTATTTGAAATCTGGAGGTTGGTTATTGATTCTTACCTCACCCGTGTATACTTTTAAGTTGTATATGTGTCTGTTTCCTCTAAAGAACTTGAATAGTAGTTATACGTTAACTTGAGTACCCTTAACTTGAGGTATCAATTCTCATAGAATTGAGCTTAGAAAGGACAACAGAGGCAGAATAATTTGGGATATGGAGAAAATACAAAAAATTTATCTTGGCTGCTAATTTGATGAAGGAGCCTTTTGTCTTCTTTTCCTTTCAAGGCAAGACATGGTTCCAAAACTCAGGCAAAGGGTAAGGAAAATGTCGGAAAGTAAAATTATCTTTGAGGCTAATGCATCAAATATCTATTTATGAAATTAAACAAAAAGAGACTTATTGCTTAAACTATTACTGATAGACTCAATTATATTTTTGATCTTCAATTTTAATTGCTTCACCTTGGTTAATGCATTTGGACTTGCATGGATGACAGAAGGCAACGAGCAGAAAAAGAAGAGGATGAAAGGTGATCCTGACATTCCTAGGCTCTCTCCTTCCATGCGAAATCAGCAGGAGTTCTTTGCTAGCTTGAAGGGAGAACAAGTATGGATCGATTTTATGAAAGGAAATTACTCCTTTTCAATTTTCATTACATCGTTCAACAAAAGTAAATAACTTTTTACCACTAGGTGGCTGCTAGAGTTGCGCAAGAAGATGGTGAAAAGGATGAGTGGGTTATTGTCAAAGTTACTCATTATGACAAAGAATCAAAAGAGTAAGTTCTGTGACATAGCTTCAAGTTGAAAAAGTGATCTAGACTGATTTCATTTACATATATTTTGCATTAACATTGCATCTCCCCTGGGCAGATTTGAAGTTTTAGATGAGGAGCCGGGAGATGACGAGGAAGGTGGTGGTCAGAGGTAGCCTACAATTGATCTTTGGACATTTGTTGATTGTTTTTGCCTATTTACATATTGCTTGTGTACTTTCCTTTTGATTGTTTGTGCATTTTATCTTGGGGGTGTGGGTATGAGAGAGAAATAGTGATGAAGCGACTTCAGGAACTTCCTTGGATCTAAGTGACAACAATTTTACTTGAGAATATTTTGTGCAAGTGTTATTGAATGCTTTCCATAACTAAGAAGCTGCGCAAGAATTACAGAGACTAGGGAATATAAGGTAAAAGAATGAGGGACACTTAACAAATCAATTTTCCCGCTCCTTCTAGGACCTTGCTAAAACTCTATTGTAGTTCCCCATGAGACTAACAAATCATATACATCAATTGGAGGAAATTAGAAATCAAAAAGGTAATACATTGTTTGATGATGTGACCCCCTTACACAAAAACTTTCCTCACTTTTTGAGCTTCCAGCTTTAAACAACTAATTAAGGATCTTTGGTGACTTATTTTTCCCTCTTTTAGTACTTTGAGTTTTGTCCTTTCTTGCGACTTGTTGGTGATTGTTGTTAGCTGGTATCCTCAAGTAAGTAGTCCATAAGTTACTCTCAGCTGTCTTGCAAGTCGCTGTACAATAATCTGTTCTCAGCACCTTCTTGTGGATATTTGTGATTAAGATTCTGCCACATTTCATTTCGTCTAAGCTTAATATTGCTACTGAAGAATTTGATGACTGATAGCCGATTATATGTGGTTTTTCACTCTTTGTACTTTGAGAGGCTGCTTGTTCATTGATATCTATGTTGATTTTTTTCAGCTACGGATTTGCTTACTAAATGATTATTCGCCTTCTTACTAGACTTACTGGTTCTATTCTTTTGCCAATTACAGAAAGTACAAGCTACCCTGGTCACATATTATACCTTTTCCCAAGATGAGTGATCTTGCAACCGCTCCAGAATTCCCTCCTGGAAAACAAGTTTTGGCAGTTTACCCAGGAACGACAGCCTTGTACAAAGCCACAGTAGTCCAGGCCCGCAAGGTATCATTATCTAGTTTCCTATTGTCGTAGTTTGTCTGGATTTTCTTTAATGAGCTATTCAAAATATCATAAGTATTGAGGAACTGATTGATTTTCGACTTACATTTGCATGTGATGGTCCAAATGGTTTATCGATTTCCAGAGGAAGAGTGACGAGTAAGTGAATTTTCCTTTTCATTCCCTTACCAGGCCTCTTGATGGGCTTAATATTCTATAGTACTCAGTAATTGAGCAATGACTTCTGATTGAAAGGAAATCTGGAATCAATTATTATAATCTGTTGCAGTCATCTAGCTCAATATTTCTTCTTTCTTGAAATTGACTGTTAAGTTCCAAATTTTTGACCAAAGAATCAATGATTATTTTTCACGGATTTAATGCATTTTGTTTCCCCTTTTGCAGTTACACATTAGAGTTTGATGATGATGAGGAAGATGGGTCTCTACCTCAACGCATGGTGCCCTGTAACCAGGTTGTTGCTCTTCCAGATGGACATCGCCAGTGAAATATAGTTACTCTTTACACGTCCAGAGTCACTAAATTTGGACAATCTACTGTATGTATCTATTAGCCTTCTAAGGGTGAGCTGTGAACCTATTCACATTTAGTTCGTAGCATTGTTACTTATCCAGAAAAAGAAAATATTATCTATGTCGTGCAATGTATTTATCAAAGAAAATCTTTGCTGTACGATTTTCTAGTGTTCTTGGTGTACAGTAATTGGACATGAAAAAATAAAATCCTAGTATTTTGAGTTGTAAATTTGTATTGTGTTTATTAAGGTCTCTGAGTTTATCTGGAATCTCTCTCCGTTTGACCTTATACTGGAAAATTGCGAGTTTCTGTATATGTTAAGTCTGGATAAAAGATCAAGATTTTACTTGACAGAGATATGAAAACTGCTAGTTAAGATGCATGTTTATAATACAAGATTCCTAATAGTGAAGATGTTTATGACAAGCATGAGTGATGGGAATGGGAGGATCAGAGAAATTGCCATTTAGTATGTGATTTGCAATCCATTGATTAGCAGCTTGTGAGTAATGTATTCCATCCCAGCTTATATAATCTGAAGGGTTGACACAAGCTCCTCCAAAAACTTCTGCACCTCTCACTATTCCTTTCTGACCACACCATACATGTCTGTTCCCCTCGTGTAACCCACAGCATATTTTCTGGGGTTCCATGAAATCTGTTCAAAATTTTAAAGCCCGTAGAGTTAGATGATTTATTTTCATCTGTTTAAGCCTTGGTACGAAACAACAAGTGTATGGTAAAATTATTGGTATGTGTTTGTGTATTAACATATACCTTGGCTCTTGGCATTGCTGATCAGTTCATACTTGGCAGCATAGACATCTACATATGTTATAGCAGCATGCTCAAGCTCTGCTCTCAATGTTCTTATCCTGGCTTTCAGCTGTCTATTGAACTCTAAGGCCAATTCATTATGTCTCTTTAAGCATCCATAGTTATCAAGAACACCTTGTTTCGGATTTCTGAGGTATAATGTGGATACTGGTAAGCAACCGATTGGACCCGTGTTGTGTATCCAAAATGCCCTTGCTCCTTGTTGATATAGACGCTGTCAAACAAAATTACAGTTAACCTTATTAAACTCATGATAAAATTGTTGAAAGTTGTCGTATACTACCGTTACTGCTGCAGAAAACTGGTTTATTATGTCTGCTATGGCTGTCCGAAGTTGCATATTACTCATCTGGCGGAAGCCAACAGCTAGATCAGTTTGGCCTATGTCAATTGTGTAGAGAGATTTTGAAAATTCGCGAGGTCTTGGGAGTTTGTTCTTCACTGAGACATGTAGTGTCAAATCAGCTTAAAACGATAGAAACTGGAACATAGAAGGTTAGTTATGTTTACCCTGTCTATAGAGCTCTTCAGTTCTGGATTGGAAACGATGAAAATGCACGATTTGAACGTCCAGGGAAAAGGGGCTTATACCACTTTGGAATATAGTCTCGTTCTGTCTCCTAATGGTGGATCCTGCTGTAGCAAAATTAGCTCCGTGCCCAAGTAAGGTAATCTCATGAGGTCAGCTGCAGAATAGAGTTAACATCACCATCAATCAATCAATTGATTTCATAATGAGTAATGATATTGATTTGGATGGATGTTACGTTACCGATGAAGTCAATGAGAAGTCTACCATCTGAAAACCTTCCGGCAGGTCCCCGGAAGAAACTCTCACCATAAGGTGCTTGTATGGGTTCAAATGCAGCAGAGATACCTCCGGTGTCCGAATTTGAGTCCCCGAAATTGTAAATTGCAGGGTGCTATTGCAATACCCTTCAAGGGGGCTAACAGTAACAATAGTGATACTATTACTGTTACACATTCCATTATTGCTCAAATGGACACTGAAATTGAAAATGTTGGGTATATTTTTGAAGTAAGCAGGGGAAATCATCTAGTTACTTTTCATGAGTTGTTTTCTATTGTAACTTATTCAAACTAGAAAAAGCCGTGATGAAATGCTTTTCCAAGTAAAAACAACCGGACCATTAGGCTAAAGCCATAATTTTAGAACCTGTTTGAATTGAATTGACTTTTTTTTTTAAGCATCTGTAATTATATCGAAAATTTTGATTGCTGAGTCTTCTCTAATTTTAATTCAACCACAAATTATTGTCTGGTTTGTTCGTTAGCCAAGCCTAGATTTCACCCCTTAAATAAGTTTGGTTCAATTTGATCAAATAATCGCGATTCAATTCTGAATAAAAGTATATACCAACCAAATATCATATCATCATCATATATTTGCTGTAAGTGGGAACAAAATGTTATAAAACATTTAACTATTTAATTAAAATATTAAATTATATCATTTTAATTAATATGCTAATGACTTTTGCGCTTTCTTAGGTTAATTCCTAAATAAAATATCTAATTTAATATCTCTAGACTCTAATCTATATGTAGTTATAATAATTTAATAAATTAGTCAGCTTTCTTTCCATAACTTTTTTCGTCTGTGAATGATATAGTTTACGTGAATAAAGTGTTATCCTTTAAGATAAATAAAAAAAATTTAATAATTTAAAAGCATGCAAATCTGCAAATGGAGAGATATAAACTATTTGCTTTAAATATTCATATTCATAAATCATAACTCTTACCTATTCAATTTTTATACTTTGGATATCCGTAACTCTCATCTTTTTATATTAATAACCTCTAAATATTTAATCTAAAACTTTAAAATATCTTTTGGTATCTCTTAATTTCCTTCTATATAAATTAATTTTTTTTATTTCATGACCACTAACAGGATTATTATTTTTATTCTATAGTTAAAATAGATGAAGAAGACACTTGAATTTTGATAAAAATATAAAAGAAAGAGTCAATAAAAACTCAAAAAATTATGTATTATTATTGTGATCAAAATATATTTTTATTTATACTCAAATTAGCCATTTATGACTTTATTAAAAGTTTCCTGCTTAAATAAACTAAAGTTCAAAAATTAAATTGGTTGCTTAAAAAAAATTAATTTAAACCATCAAAATAAGCCCTTCATTTAGTATTTTTAATTATATATTAAATTACTCAATACATGCTCTTTACATTACATATATGTTTCCATAACATTTTAGTCATTAACATATCTCATTATCTATAAAAATATATTGGTAATATTACATCTTCAACCAACTGACAATGCCCTTGAATCACTATAACAAGAAAACTCACTTATTGGAAATTTTATAATATAAAAAAAAAAACCCCACTAAAAACATATTGGTCAAAATTTGATTGAGCAGATATTCGATTGTCATATCAATAATAGTGTCAAACAACTAAAGATGGTATAGAAGAATTGATGTGCCGCAATAAATCTTTTCTATACACATTTTTGGACTGAATTTAAAAATTCTTTCATAATTAAGTTGTGTAAATACCGCAAGATACAAAATGAATCACATAAATAAAATTACTTTTCATAACAAGAATAAAAGAAAGTTAACCTAATTTTGAAATTATGACTTCACTATCTCTTTAATGTCACTACCTATTTAATCATTTGCAGTTACTAGTACAAGAAATTTGATTCTATCTTTAAAGGAGGCATCACATGTTCACTTTTTTTTGGTTGAAATATAATTGAGAAATCATTGTCTTTATTGAAATATGTTCAAATAGCCTGGAAGCAAAATCTTCATTATTGAAAACTGTATTATGTAAAAAATAAAAACATCATCGAACAAATAAAAATATCATTAAAATTTAAGAACAATATATTCCACTATAATTAATCTTTTCAATCACCTAATAATAGAGAGAGGATATTTTTTTTAAAAAAAAATAACGAAAAAGAAAATTGTATCTAATAAAATGAAAAATACTGATATATAAAGCTTTTGTTGCCAAAAGAAAAAGAAAGAAATTGTCATCTCCTTATTTTTCTATGCCAAAACAAAAAATATGAAAGAACTAAAACAAAATTTGGAAAAGCAAAGGGACTGTATTTCGTATTTGTTATTCTAGTGGGGGTTCAAAAAGAAATTTGGGTATAGTTAAACGGTGTGCTTTGCCCTAACGGAAACTCAACTCAACTGTGCGAAGAAAGCTATGGGGAAGAAAGCAAGTGGAGTAGGAGAAGGAGGAGATGGATCCACTGGAAAAGAAGGTTACAAGCTTCTGGGCAATCCGACTTTCAAAAAATTGGAGAATGGCCGCTTCAAATGCGTTCAAACAGGGCATGAGCTGCCGGAACACGCTAGGGACTCTTATGCCCACAGCAAGCACTGCCGCTTGGGTCTAATTGATGCTGCACTTTCTAAGAATAAACCTCCTCTCAATATGTTTAACCAAGATCCTCTCAATCGGTAATAGTCCTTATTTCTACTACTAGGGTTTTATATGCAAACGCTAATCACTGCTAGAGTCAATGCATCCTCTGGTTCCAAAAAAAAAATGCCTAGTACTGTAGTAGGTATTATATCCTCCGAATTTGGCCTATGAATTTCTCTACAAAGAGGGAAAAATAGTTAAATTGGAACTATTGAATACGATTGCACTAGAAATAGTCATAGTTATTTCAACCTTTGTCATTATAACAATACATTGCACTCTCAAGCAATCAAGGGAGAAGAGTTTACAAATATAAAATAAGACAACTGGAGTTTAGTGCACCAGGCTGCCCTTTTATTTCCTTTTGCCTGAAAAATCCACCCGGATATATCATGAGGTTCATCATTCTAATAATCATAATGGGATATACATTGGAATTCAATTTAAAGCATATATACAGCGTATGACCTTAGTATGACATGTTTGTTTGAATTGTAACTTGTAGCAATCTAGTGGAATACTTTTGATGTACAACAGAGAAATTGATCATTTGTTGCACGCTAGGCGCAAAATTTCTTGGAAATTATGGAGGAAAATCTGATATATGTGTATTTTCCTATTGTTCTTATGCTAATTTAATCTCTGGCGTAATTTGTTATGCAATTCGTGCAGGTCAAAGTTGATATGTAAATTAACAGGAGATACAGTTAATAAGTCAGAGGAGCATATATGGAAACACATGAGTGGAAAGCGCTTTCTCAGAATGTTAGGTTTGTTATGAGTCCCCAGTTACTTGTTTATTGAGATGTTTGTGTATGTATATTATGTTCTTGCGCATTCTACTGAGTACCACTTATGATACATGCACTACTTTGAACAGAGAAAAAGGAAACTGAAACTGAAATGGAAAATGGAGGGCTAGAAAAGCAAGTAGAAAATGAAGCGGCTAAGAAGACGGACAGCAAAGCCAATCGTCGGGACAAAAAGAAAAACAAAAAGAAAGAAATAGAAGATGCTAGCAAGGTTATATCTGAAATAAGGGATTCTTCTGGAAAGAACAGTGGCTCTGAAGATGATGATGAGTTTTGGATGCCTCCAGTTGGTGCTCGCTGGGACAATGATGATGGAGGTGATCGATGGGGATCTGGTTCGGAATCAGAAGAAGAAGAAGAAGATGCTATTGGGCAAGGTATCCGTTATTACTTATTAGTAATCGTAAACTTTAAGGGTGGAAATTGCCAAAAATCCCACGTATATCTTTGTATGTTAGGTCACAACAACAACATACTCAGTGGCGAATTTAGAGGCAAAAAATGCTCGTGGTCTCTTCATAAATTAGATATTTTATGTATAAATTTCTCAAATTTGTATAATATTATATTATGGCACCTGTACTAGAAAAAGTCTAGTGGGTCCACATGGTTAAGTGTTGAGCTTTTGACCTTGAGGACTGAAGATCAATTCCCCCACTTAATAAATTTTTCTTGGTGCACCCATATTCGAAAAAATCTTAGATTCGCCTCTGTTACATGCCTAGATAATACCACAAGTGGGGTCTGGAGAGGTTGGTGTGTACACAGTCTTATCCCTACCTTAGGCTGTATGTAAGATTGATACATTAATGCCTACACTGCATGCAAATTTGGCGATGGTAGGGCAGAAGCTTAACACTGTTCTTGTACAATCAAACCTGTGAATTGAATGTGTAATCTGTCTCTGCTTTTTTTCTGTGCTAAATATATTGTTTCATACTTCACGGCTAGTGAATTGCAATGCATGCTCCTTGAATATTATAAACATAAATCTGATGGAGCTCAACATTAGCTCTTTTATCTACTTTCAGAGGTGTTCGATAAATATTTGCCTTCCAATGTGAGAAAAGTCATTCCTTTTTCTCCTTCTCATATATATGTTTCATGAAGAAGTCATCGTGTTTTCTTCTCTAAAGCGAATTGTTAGAACAAAATATATAAAGGCCATACTGCATATGATATAGAGCTCTTTGAATTCAGTAAGCATATATATGGTATTGAGGTTTCACTTAACAGCTAACGGCTTGGGTGTGTGTTTGTCAATTATCAGTATAAGTGCCTATTGAATTTGATTTGGTGAATGCATGAAAAATCTTACTACATTTTATGCGATCAGATGGAGGAACTGAAGAGGAAAATCATGACACCGGAGAGCTTTCCAAGCGGTATGGTTACTCTGTCAATGTTTTGATGTCTCCTGCCACACGTTTTGTGTTGACCACCATACCCTTCCCCTCTATATTTAAAAATTATATGCAGAAACTGGGTGAACATTTAAATTTAACATGTGAAGTCAAATTTTTGTTTTGTGGCAGGGCAAAACGCATGTCCCTTGAGATTGGACCCAGTAGCTTTGCCTCAAGGAAGAAAAAGAAGAAGACCAGTGCTACATGATATTTTTCCTCTGAAAAAGCATTACAAATTTTGTTATCATCTTGGGTTTAGTTGTATACTGCTTGCTTCATTTTAGCTTTTCTTTATTTTCCTTACTATTGTGTTACTGTAGGAAGAAATTTCTTACAGTTAGAGCGTCAACACATGTATTGATTAATTTTCGGACTATTATGTTGAGACATTGAAAGAACCATTAGTAAAAAAAGTAGCAACATTGTAGAATACTTGAAAAATATTATGTGTAGTGTGAGTTTTGGAGAGAGTCATGCTATAACCGTGATATTGTCGTCCTCAAAAAAGAAGAAACTTTGATAGGAAAGGACAGAAAAGAAGTTCACATGACATTAGCATTAGCATGGCTTCTTTATTCACATGTCTTCTCTTACGAGAATCCAAACACCGGTATTTAGTAGATTTGAATAAGTTATTGTCAAAAATGTAGCCTGGTCTAATTTTTAAAATGAAACATAACAAATTATGTTTTTTTTCCATAAATATGTTAGTTTGATTTATGTATTTGACAAATTGATATATACAGTCCGTCAGTCTATTTGATTGATTCAAAGTTCAAACCAAACAATGAATCTGATTTAGTGCTTAGCACCTTCTCTGAAAGATCACATATTATTAGTATCATGTGCACGGCAAGATAATATGCATTTTATAATTACAAGATTACGAGAGACGTAGCTACCAAGTAACAATTGAAAATGGAATATTTTGCAAAACTTTCAAGTCATTATTACAAATAATATAATATGTTTTTTTTCTGAAAAAGTCGTAACAAAACCATGATATTGTCCTAGAAAGGATGACACCATGTAGAAATTATTCATCATATGAATAAACAGAAAGGTCTTGCCTATTCATAAAAATAGTTCTACCTATAAGGTTCTTATAACTAGACTAATTATACTATAAATTATGAGTCTTTAATTTACTCTTCACATATGTACTTATATTTCGTACAAAAAAATATTGAATTAAGATGGACCTTAACAACGTTTGGTACTTTTATTCCTTGGATATTGCCGGATTTTAAGACTAAAGAGGAAATGATTGGGGAGAATAAAAAACAACTGTTTAACTTGTCTGCTTTTTCACACAACTTTGAGATCGAAAGTCATGTACAATAATAATCAAGCATATTTCTCCTTTTTTCTTTTTTTCTCTTTAAAGGAGAAAAATATGGAAAGGCAATAAAAAAAATGGGGTAGGAAAAAGATAAGCAATTTCCTGTTATTGCCAGATTTACTCTTAAAAAGTATAAGAATTTAATTTATAATTATCGCTAATATAAATAAAAAATTAATAATTTAATATCATAGTATAGCAGGATACTTGTTGCCTAACAATTAATTTTAGTTATAATTTTTTGGACTTGAAAGGAAATGGCGTGAGCCAGGGTCTCTACTCTCTTCTATGCTAAATAACAAAAATCTAAAAAAAAAAAATTCAATTGTCACGTCAGTTGTTGTATTTATTTTTCTCATTATGGATAAAGGTGCAATTTATGTTACTTCACACTTCAACCATTACAGATTTTCTTGCATTTTAATATTAGTTTTAAATTTTGACCAATTATTTTCTTCAATTATGTTTTTTGTTCTCAAATTTCGGCTCTATTTCACATATCTTTGAGATTGACTTGCGAACGAAATACTCCATCTGTCTCATTTTATGTATTTTATTTTTACTTTACATTACATTAAGAAATAATGTAACTTTGCATTTCTATCCTTATTTAATTTTTTTTACACTCAAGTTTTCAATTAATGAATATGAATTAATTTATTTTAATTAATTAATTTAATCAATGAACGTGAATCATTTACTTAACTTTTCTAAATTGGTCAAATGTATAATTTTTAAGGCGAATATCTCACAAAGGATTAAAAAAAAGAAGATAATTTATGCATTAATTTTATTAAATGACAAGTATTACAGATCAACTATTTATAGAAAATAATAACATATAAAAATGCGACGGAAGAAATAACACGGAACAACAATAAAAGGAAATATCAGCATAAAATGAACTATTAATGAATTTAATTTTAGACAATTTAAATTATATGCATCATTATGCAATTTATTTTTTTACGAATATATCATGAAAATAGACAAGTGTAAATGATCTACCAAAAAATATATTGTTTAAAAAAAAGTCTCTCAAAGTTACATGATGATTACTTTATGAATGTAGTTGGAGCAATTCACGGCATATTTTAAAGAATAAAGACAAAAAGAAAGGCAGGGGAGGATAAACTACCTTTTGTTGTTGCAACAACATGTACTTAATTAAGTTGCATAATTCAATTACTTTTTTCATTTTCTATACTAAATTTTCCCACTATTTTCAAAGTTTAAGCAACTTTAAATTAATTCAAAAAGGAATAAAAACATCTAACAAACTCATCCAAGAGCTAAAAGGAAAGATTCCCTTTATGAATAACTTAATGCTCTGTAACTTTTAAGAGCGGCTAATAATAATTACTATAAAATTAATGAAATATTTAAAGATCAGCGTTTAAAATACTTTAAAAATTATATACTTGATAAACTGACACAGAAATCACTATTTTTAATTAAGGGTGCTATTAACAACATTTTTATTAATAAAGGAGACTAATTAACATTTCGTGGAAAAGAAAAGTTTTGACTTTTAAATACTTCAATATTTTCAGATTTAACATTACTTTGACCGCTAATTATTGTCTTGAAATTTAAAGATTAGTTTGACCAATAAATTACTTAACTCTTGCATTTATTTAGTCCCAATAATTTAATATATTCCCTATCTAATGATTTTTCAACTATTTCTCCCCACAAGTAGTCCGCAATTCATGATTAGACGGGACAACAACAACAATTAAGGTATACCGCGTAATTTTTATAAGCGAAAATTTAAAATGATTATATCTATATAAAATTTAATTTTTTCATTCGATTTTATATGTTATTTTTTTAATTTATATTTGTATTAAAAATAATGTAATTTTATTTTTTTATGTTTATTTAATGTTTTTTTAAGTCAACTTTATAATAAATGATGAATTTATTTTCAACATTAATTAACTATTCTATTACGAGTAGAATAAGCAAAATATGATAATTTATGCATAAATTTTATAAAATGACAAGTATTGTGGTCCACCTATTTATAGAAAGAGATGACACATAAAATGAGATGGAGGCAGTATAAGATACTAATACATATACTATATTAAGAAAAAAAATATCATTCATAGTATTAAATTTATTTTTTTTACTTATCTCTTTTAATACCTTTATGGAATGATTTATAAAACACATATAATACAAGTTTTATTACTGGATAATATATTTATCACACGTTTTAATATAATGTATCAATTTCTTAACAAACAAGCATAATATGTTTTAAAACAATTAAAATACATAAATACTGAATACATAATTCACTTTTAATACATATTACAGATTATAATATTGCTATAAATAGTAACAAATAAAAAGTATCGCTAAAATAATTAATTATTTATTAAAAAGATACTCATCCAAGTAAATTTTTTTCCTAAATTATTTTTGGTAGACCTTCAATTTAAATAAAAAATCTATAACAAAATATTAATATATAAAATAGTACTAAACAATGTTTTAAAGACTCTATTAGGACTCGCCCTGGGCGGAGCTCTAGCAAAATCCCTAATATTGAAGTGTGAGACTTGATTCTATAAGATCTATGTCTTAAGCGCCTGACTATATGCCTTAAGCACGCACAACGCTCAACGTTTGAGACTCGCCTGACAGATCTTGCACAATTATGTATTAAAACCATTAGTTAATATTGTATTGACCTTCATAATTGTTGGATAAATGAAAGAAGCTTAATAAGTTGTTATTCTATAGAGAAAAGAAGATTGAGAGTAACTAAATAACAAGTTGTAGTATCGGATCATTACTATTTCATAACATTGTGAAGGTGATTATATATTAAATAACATTTCTTCTAAAAGTATGTAGCGATTTTTTTTCATCATATGTGATTTTGGTCTTCATGATTGTATCATATGTCTCAAAATTATCACATTTTATTTAGTTATTTGAAAATAATTTTATTTATATTCATGATGGGATGATGTTTTTATTACACTACTAAGTTTTATTGATTATTCTCTTTTATAAGGGTAAAATGTATAGCATGATCGAAATGATTGTTTAGAAATAATGATTTTATTATTATTAGAAAGTTAAGATGTTAGATTATTTATACTTATATAATTATGTTAAAAGTTTTATTTTCTATGAATTTCTTTAATCATATTTTGTAATTATTTCAAACTATTGATGAATTTTTATAATTTTGTGTTATTATATTATTATACTATATTATAAATTAAAAATTTAAAGATTTATAGAACTTACGTCCCACGTCTCAAGCCTTATGCCTCACCTTATACTAAGTAAAATACGGCTTTTTTTAAATATTGATACTAAATAAAATTAATAGACAAGGAATAATATGAATAATTCTATATGAAAAATAGGATGAGACGGCACAAGAAAAACAAAAGTAAAAGCATGGGAATTAAAATAAGAGGTGGTAGAGGCATTGGACCCTATCTAATTGATAATAATATGATGGTATTTAAAGAAAGTAAAGTAACCCAACTTTTTAATCATTTTTGCACTGAAAAAAAACCCAACTTTTTCATCCGTGACCTAACGACGAAACTTCCATGTGTCTACACAAAACTTTTAACTCACATACTGTTTTAATTATATAGAAAAAAAAAAAGTGTATTCCCTTTCTGATACTGCAATTTTTTTTCAAACAGATTCGATTCGATCCACCATTAGAATCCAATAATCACAAGTTTTTAAACCCCACAACTCCAATTGCTGCACATCCTCTGTTTTTAAGGTATGTGGTTTGTCCCTCTCTATTTACCCTTTTGACTCTTCAATTTTCGATTGAATAATGTGAAACCCGTTGCTTAAATTGACTGTCATTTTCTGGGTTTTTTTTTAAAAACTTCCCATGGAAGTTATGGTTGATTTTACGTCTTGGGTTTGTATTATTTTAGTGTTAACGTGTCTTCTCTCTTGTTTCTTACTGTTATCCTGCTGTCGTAATTGCGTAGCTTGTAAAAGGACAATGTAGAAGAGCCAAAGTCTATATTGAGTCGGTTTTGAATGATTACAAGTCTCAATTTGATAGCCGCCTTTCTCTTCTTAACCT